CTATATTCCCAATTACTCAGGTGACATGCCATGATTCTTTCATGAAAAACACATACCATCGTGAGAAGAGTAGGAACACAAATAAAATTAGATTTTAATTCAAATTTATTTCTCTTCCTTTCCATTTTAATGAACCATGGAAAATGGTTCCCTAAATGATTCCAGTCAAACCTCATATTTTAAATATATATTAGAAAATGACAGACCTTTCATCTTCACAAATGGACTTCCAGGGGGGGCGAGGGGAGTGGAGGGGAGATGGCATAACTCAAAAGGATAATTGTTTAGCAACCATAAATTACCTCCATTTCTTTTAAGCTGCATAGTCACTAAATTTAAACCATGGGAGACCACAAGGCTGGGGCTGAGCCAAGCATGAAACTCATTTCAGAGTTATTGAAAAATATTTCGCTCAACTATGTGAGAGACTTAAGGCACATTTTGTCACCATCTCTTAAAGGAGATGTCTTAATAATACTCTTCTTACTGAATTAAGATATTTAGTTCCTAGGAGGTGACAGAAATGAAAAGAGAACAGGATAAAAACTCCCAGTCGCCATAGAAGTATGGTCTGCTCTATTACACACACGAACCAGGGGGGGCTACCACATTTATTGATAATTCGAGAATTCAGTCCACAATACAACTTTCTGTCAGCTTCAGTCAAGGCCACTGTTTCCACTCTGGATGAACAAATATGGAACTGGATGTGAATATGAAAATGGAGATGTAGAATCCACAGGCCTGAATGTCTTACAGTCAGAAAGTCTTGTCCATCGCTGGGGGCTGCATGCAAAAGGATACAGAATAAGACAATAAAGACTATAGTGCATAATAAAGCTGTCCGGTGGGGGTGCCCAGAGAGTGGGTACTTTTCAGTTCCATGATAAATTTAGGAGCCCTGGTGGTACAACCATGAAGCCCTAGGCTACAATGAACAGATCCGCAGTTTAAACCCACCCAACGGCATCTGGGGAGCAGAGACCGGCCAATGGGCTTCCACTGAGATTACAGGCAGTTCTACGCTGTCACACTGGGCTGCTGTGAGTGGCATCTGACAAGGGCACACAACAATGAGGAGGCGGATCCATTTGCATCTCAACCAAAGCTTGATCAAA